TCCGTTGCGCATCCGCAGGCACGCAGAACCGCACGCACACGGTGTATATACTGTCGTGCGCGTGGATGATTCTTCCGTAGTTGCTGCCGGCAGTTGTGTCTGGCGGCTGTTGCTGCCTTCTTCAATGGCCGTGAAGGGTGGGCAAGCGGCACAGCGGGAGGGTGAGGAATTTGATCGCCCACGCTCTTATTTTCCTTGCGGGCGCGGGGCGCTGCGTGTGTGGGTTTCTTGCCTTCCAGCGCGGCGCCGTCAGCTGCAGCGACGCTGCAGGGAGCGAAGGGCCCCTCTTGTCTGCTGCCCTCGGTGGTTGGGCGGTCCGGCTGGCAGTGAGGGGGCAAGGGAGGAGTGGGCGCCGGGAATGTTGCGGCCAGTTCTGCGGACAGCAATGACCTCACCTCTTTCTCGCCTTGCGCACCTGCGCTGCTGCTGCCTTTGCCAGCGCTGCTGCTGCCTTTGCCAGCGCTGCTGGGCAGTGCTGAGAAGCAACTGCACCCAGACACACACTCCTTGGCAGGGACGACGGATACGCTTTTTGTGCGCTCATTTTGCTTGTCGTCCCTGCGGGGCAATCGTTCTCTCTCTCCTGTGCTCTGAGAGATGCTCCCTTTTCTTATAACTTCTTGCTTCGTCACTCCATGCAAGTTCGCATGGGAAGCGCGCCCTTTTCCCCCTCCTGTTCGCTGCTGCCACTCTCACACGCGCGCGGTGCCGGCCTCTTGGCTGTACGTCGCACGTATTTGACGCAAATGCGGCAAGAGGCCGCGGCCACCGTGAGGTGCAACCGTGATTTCTGTGTGAGTGACACTGCGACCAGAAATTCGTTTTTTGTTTGTTTGTTTGTTTGGTTTTACTTTCGTGAGATGACATGCTTTTTTTTTCCTGCCAGATTTGTCTCTACGGTGCATATGCTGAGGTCTACAACTGCTGTCTCTACAGCTATGCCAAACGGAATGGCGGGGGATTCGCTTTTTGCGGCCAATGCCTACCTTGGGGTGGTCAGCTCACGTTGCATTCTTAGCCGGCGGCGGCGGCGGGTCGGCAAGGAGGCTGCATCCTTGCTAACGTGGTTAGCTGTGTGCTGTATCTCTCATTTGCCGGCTTCCCTTCTTGCTTGCCACTTTTATTCTCTTCCCACTCCTCCGTTTTCGATCATGGCAGCAGCGAAGTGGAAGAAGGGAAATTTTGCGTCCTCTGCTGTTTGTCTCTTGCAAGGCGGTTACAAATACGCATACATGGATTTCTTTACGTTGCTCTCTTCGTCAGGTGATCCTGTTGTGGTTCCGCGGGATCCCGCCATCATCTGCCAATCGACATGGCTGCAGGCAGCGCTTGACATTGGGGAAGACGAGGGCGTTGTGCCGGTAGCGTGCACACGAACATTGCAGTGTCTGGTGGCTTATATGAAATTTCGCGCGGCGCGCCCCGATGATGACGAACAGGAAATTGAGCTTCCTATTTCATGTACATGTAGCACCAGTGCTGCTGGGCTGGGCTATGATGTACGTGAAATGCTGCCGCCGTGTGACGTTGACTTTTTGGATAACTGCGCTGGGGCGGGAAAGTCTTGGCCCCTAGAGATGCAAGAACTCTTTTTGGAGTTGCTGGTAGCCGCCGACTTTGTGGGTCATACTCACTTGAGGAGGACATGTGCGGTGTACTTGGCATGCCGGCTCATGTCCGCCACGGAGTCGGACATTTTGGGGTGGTTTGAGGCTGAGGTGGGGTGTGTTGGGGAGGAAACTGGCGTGGGCTTGTCGGAGGACAGCGGTGAGGGCCGGCTGCTGTTGCTGTCTGACCAAGACCGACTGCAAGTTCTGCGGGAAATGCGAAGCGTCTTGGAAGTCGAGGAGTGAAGCGATGCCTTTGGGGCGCGCGTGTGTGGGTGTGACGGACTGACGGCGTCTCCTTCACAAGCGGGTCACAGTTGTACAAGTTTATGCGTAGTTTTTTTTTTTCCTTTTTACGTCTGCACCCCGTGTGTGTGTGTTTTTTTTTTGTTCTCCGTGCGCTATAGTGTTTCACTCTTCTTCCCTTTCCCGGCTTCGTTCTGTCACGACGCGGCTCAGCAAGTGGGGAGACGTTAGAAGCAACAGCGGCAGCAGCAACGCACACGCGCACGCAGACTGCTCGACAAGACGGGCATCACTCTCTCCGTGTGAGGTTCCGTGAGGGGTTGTGTGGTGGTGTGTGTGTGTGTGTGTGGTGGCAGGGGGACTCTCTTCCCGTGCGAATGCCACCGCGTCCCCAGCCGAAGCCTTCTGGCAACAAGAAGGCCTCTGTGCTCAGCAGGTCGCCGGTCCCCCCTGTGTTTGGCGGAAACGCCGAGATTGAAGTTGTGGGTTCCCGCGTTGTTCGCCTCCTCCGTGATGCCCGGGCGTCGGTGCGGGCGCAGCAGCGACCGGACACCCCGTTGATTAACCCGTCTCGACCGCCGCTGAGGCCCGGCGGCCGCCTCACCGCGATGGTGTCATCCGCGCCTTCGGCTTCGTCACAGTTGGCGACGAGTGGTCAGCAGTTTGATCGTGTGAAGTTTGAGTCATCCTTGGATGCGGCCAGAGGCAACCCGCAGCTGCAGTTGGAAAAGCTGGCAGAGCTGAAGCTCTGGCTGGCTAACCCCCACCACCACTTGTGGGGAACGACGCTGGCGAGATTGCAGGGCTTAGTGACGTCACCCAACACGGAGGCACAAGTTGTGGTGAGTGCGGCGTCCGTGCTGCTGATGCGCCAGAGCGAGCTGCGTAACATGCCGTATCTTCCTCTCGTTATTCGGCGTCTACATGAGTTATGTGAAGGTGGCATCGAGCGAGAGCTATTGGAGGCGGTGCTGATGCGCGAGTCTCTCATGCAGCTATTGCTTCATTTAATGAAGTCCGAGGAGCTGTTGACCACCCACACGAGTGTATTGTGGGACGTGCTAGAAATCATCCGCAGCTCTAGCGCCAAGAGTGACGTGCTTTTGAGCCAGCTGGTGTCACTAGGCGTGATTCCTGCGGCAAATGCGGTGGTGAAACGCATCTTGTCCTCCGTGTCTGATTCACCCTCCAAGGCACGTTCTCCAGCTAGTAACTCACTCTGCGTGCTCCTTCCTCCGCTGTGCTTGCTGTATCGCAATCTCAGCACGCAGCATTCCCAACTTTTGCGCAAGTTGGGTTCTCTCGATCTACTTGTAGACATCTTGGATCGATTTCGCGAGGATGGAGACGTCGTCCAGGCGGCTGCTCGGGCCATGGCAAAAACAGTTTTTGATGCTTGTTCACTGGAACGCTACCAAAAAGGGACTCGAGTCTGTCGTGTTGTGGTTGCTGCTCTTGACGCAAACTTAGACGTGGGCGGGTTGGCTGTCAGCCGACTCTGCGGCACCTTGGCGCGGCTGGTGGAGGGGAGTCGGGAGCTGCGGGATTGGCTTATGCGGCATCATCATCGGATGCTTGTGCGTTTGGTGCAGACGTACGTCACCCCAGAGCAGTCTGCCGCCGCGGCAAATGCGGAGCCCCCGTGCGATGTAGAGGAGGCTCAACAGGAGGATTTGCTGCAAAACATCACGTGGCTTGTGGGGGTGGCTGCTATCAGCGCCGAGTGTTCAACGTCCTTTGTGCTTGAAATCACTCCACTCCTCGTGGAGTTTGTCAAGGACCTGGATGTGCAAAAGTGGCATCTAACCTTCATTTATACGCTTATGTGCCTGAGCAATCTCTCTTTCTTTTTTGACGCGCTGGAGAAGACGGAGGGCGGCAAAGAGGCGCTTGTGGAAATTTACGCGACCGTAGGCCTCGTCCTTGCCGGGGTCCTCTTTGACGGTGACACGGAGGCGACGGTCGAGGCAACGCGTATACTAGGGAACATGAGCCTCACCAACATGGGACGGGATTGGATGGAGTCAAACCGCTGCGATGAGGTGTGTATCGTGTTTCTCGGGCACGAGGACCCGCGGATCGTCTACAACTGCTTTGGAGTTCTCCTCAACTTGACGGCAGCCGACGCCTGCCGCGTGGCCTCCGACCCAGAGCTGATGCAGATGCTGTTGCAGCACACAGGGAGGTACACACGCGAGGAGTGTATCGCGGCTGAAAAGGTCAAGGAGAGCCACCGTTTCACGGCTGCGCTCGGCGGCGATGGCGATGGCGATGAGGATCGCGGGCTCAGCTACACCGATCAGATTGCCGACATTGTAGAGAAGCTTCTTCTAAACCTTAGCGGCCTCCTCTAGACGCCGCAATGCGCAGGCGCAGATGCTCATGGACAAGTTGAGGTAAATACACTTCATTCCGTAACGAAGGAGTTTCTCAGTGTTAAAGGCCTCATCTCCCTTTCACTGACGGCGCGGCTGAAACAAGAGCCCCCCCCCCCCTCCCCTCCCCCGCTAATAATAACTAGTGGTTATCGTAACAACGGTCCTTGTGTTTGTCCTTGACGTTTTTTTTTTCTGACGACTTCACGTCATCTGCTTTTACTTGCACGCTCCCACGCGAATGCAACAGAGCAACAAGGAAAGGAAGGAAGAAACTTAGTTGGCAGACCACAGCAATGGACAGCCAAACTGGCGTGAAGGACGCCGTTGACGCCCCACAGTTTGGATGGTACCAACCCCGCTACTTGCCACGACGTAGCCCGCCCCAGAGCTCCTTCCCACCCCTGTCTAAGATCGTCGTGAGTGAGGGGCTGGATGGCAACGTGGGCGATGAGGAGGCGTTAAGGCGGCGTGCTGAGTTGGGGTTTGCGTGGGAGCGGCTTAGGCCAATCACAGAGGTGTGGCACGGCCCAGCGATTAACGACAAAGCGCCGCCCGCGAAGGACTATGAGCGGCTGCTGCTGGATGCGCCCTCGGGGAGTCTGCGGTAGTCAGCACGGGGAGAGCGTGCGCATGCGTTTGTGTCTTTCTGGGCCCGCTCTTCCTGTCCCTCACTGCGGGGAACCACCCCGTGCATAGTGTCTCTCTTTGTTTTGTTTTTGAAGGCCGCGTGGGGGCCTCGCGTTCCCTCTCCGTTTTTTCTTGTCCTGCCATTTGTTTCCTTTTTGTCGGTTTTTTCTTTCATCCTCCTTCCTACTTGCGGGGACGGCGCTTCCGCTGGGCGGCAACCACGCACGCGCCCCCGCAGACCGAGGCGAGGGGTGAGGGGGGTAGCGCGGGCCAGGGAGGACGGCACACAAGCGTGTAGGGCTTGCGGCGGCAACCGGGTTGAGGCAAATAAAAAGAAAAAAACAAAGGGGCTTCGTCGCCAAAGCGGGCGGGAAGTAACAACAAGCCAGCCAAAAGAAGAAGAAGAAAGAGGACGTAAAAGGAGGACACACACGCACGCACCGAGACACAACACAAAAAACAACAACAACAGAGAGAAAAAAAGAAAGGAGAACAAACAAATCAGAGCAAGAGGCGGAATGACAACCATGTACGAGGAGGAGTACGGTAAGCTTCAGCTTCCCCCGCGGCGAAGCGGGGAAGGGGGCCTGCAAGAGGGCATCTTAGTCATCCGCAATGATGATGTCGTCGCGGCCAGCGACTGGGACAAGGGACCCGCCCCACACCCCGCGCGGGCCTTTGCGGAGAGTTATTTGCAGCCTGTTGTGCGCTCGGTTCTCACCGCCGAGCAATTTATGCGCTGGTCAAAGCGCGACCGCCGTGTGGAGGAGGCCAACTTGTGGAGCCTTGTCCTGGAGCTTTTGCTGGATGCTGAGCAGAGCAGCAAGTACAACCCGGACGCTATTGGCATCGCGGGTGTCCAGCCTCATCGGCGCTGGTTTCTGTCTCACCTTTCACATATACAGGACCTGCTGCAACGTCATACACTCTTGCGTCGCATGAACATTGTTGTGCGCTGGCTAGAGCAAACTTATAGAGAAGGGAATACACCGCTTAAACTGTCAGCCTCACAGTCGCATGAGGAGGCGATTTTATTGCGTCAGCTCATTCTATCGCAGCTACGCGGTGGTGAGCTTGACAGAGCCATTGACTTGGCTGTAACGGCGGGCGACTGCACATACAGTTGCTTGCTGAGCGGAGCACAGATGCAGACGGTGCATGAAACATGGTTTCACTTAACGCCACTGGTCCCACTCTTTGGGGAGTATGGCAACGGAGAGGTGGATCAGGCTTGGACTGGCAATAATCACCGACTGGACAATCTCTCTCAACTTTATGAGGAGTCTGTAGCTTTGTCAAACTCTAACGAGGGGCGAACTGCCCGTGGTGGGTTAGATGCCGTCGTTTCAGCGGTGCTGTGCGGAAATCTAGAGGTCATGGAGCCTGCGTTTCTGGCGGCAGGAAGCTGGAAGGACGCCCTCTGGTGCCACCTGCGCGCTGCGTTGGTGGTGTGCTTTACAAAAACATTGATGAATGCGCATCACAGCCTTCATCCATCGTATGCTGGTTTTGTCGAAAAGGTTACTGGATCACATGACTCTTGGCAGGATGAAACGGCTCGTGGCGTGGTCAGGCAGCTGGCGGAGCGGCTGCAACAAACCTATCTTCCCTTTGCCTCACTGGAGGAGCAGCTGCAGATGCGTGTCATTCTTCAATTCCTCTCACCAAGCGGCGTCGATTGGATGAACATCACAGAGGACCTTTATAACAGGCGCAGCGACGGAGCTAGACTTGTCTCACACTTGTTGTTATGTCTGGACACCGCGTACAACGAGACACTTCATTTCTACTCCGTTCAGGTATACTCCAACGCGCTTGCCGTCGCTCTCGCGCAGTATGTACAGCAGCTCGCCCAACTGCCGCTTTACTCCACGCAGGAGGCTATGCAAGCGGTCATAGCGATGAATTTGCACTTGCGCGATGTGAGGCAACGGGCAACGGTGTATGCCGCCTTTTTGATAGCATGTCGTCGTAGAGAACTAGAATCTTCGACTCGGCAGGAGGTGGAGGCTAACGAGGCGAAACTTGTGCAGTTGTTCTGTAAGGCGGACCCTGTCAACGCGGTGCGTGACGAAGTCATGCGGTTGTTGAACCAGAAGACGGAGCCCGCGTCGCTTTTGACGCATAACCCAGTGGCGGAGGTGGTCATGTGGCGGGCAATGCACGCAGACTCCCATGCGGAGTTCGTGGCCGCGCTTCGAGAGGCTCTTGAGGCGTGTGTCACCTTTTGGTTGGCTGAACCACATGCCGAGCTGGACGCCATTGCAGATGTTGCTGGCCTCCTGCGGCGCACCATCCTCCCCAACTTGCACGAGAAGAGTGAGACGCTGGGGCATATGGAGTTGATTGAGGCGCAGTTTTGGATAACGTTTGCGCAGGTTCGATCGACGGCGGATGATCATGCGCGCAGCACTGCCCAGCTTGACGTTGCCCTTGGTGGCGGGGAGCGGACGCTTGTCTTTCAATTGGCGCAGGATGAGGCCGCGCTGATGCGAGAGCTTCATGCGTGGACGCGGCAGGCGCTTGCGCACGGAGGCGCCTTGGTGCGTCGATCTCGCTCCTGCGCCACCGCCATCACGTGGATTGTGCAGCTGTTCGCGGAGGAAGCGGCCCTATCTGTGCGCCTCGCCACCCCAGGAGGTGACGTAATTATGCAGCATCTGAGGAGCGTCTTTGCCCTCGTGGAGGAGATGGATGAGCTGGGCTACCTTGACCCCAACCTCATGCCGCGGCAGAGCGCGAAGGACTTGTTTGATGCCGTGCGGGCGGTTCGTGTGGCTTGCGGTCAGAAGTCGCACGACCTTCTCGTAACCGAGGCGAAAAAGGCGGCTGCGGCGCTGCAGGTGCCTCTTGGTGATTACAAGGGCCCGTTGGAGGGGGCGGCGGAGGAGGCCGCGTGAGTGGCGGCGCCCGCCCCCGTGTTTAAGCTGCGTCCCCGCCACTAAGCGGAGCGCACGCGCCTGCTCACGAACGCGCAAGGACAAAAAAGAAAGAATACGAAAGAAGAAAAAGAAAGACGGGGCGTGAAAAGACAAGAGCGGGAGGAGCAGGAAGGGGCGACACACGAGGATGACACCTGCGTCCTCTTTGGCTCTGTTCCTGTAAGCAATTTATTTTTAAAGCAAACAAGCGAAAAGCCAAAGAACAGAAAGCGGGGAAAAGAGAGCAGGTGGCAAGAGTAGTTTCTCTTTCATTATTTATGCGTTGCCTTCACCTCGCG